GACAAAACGTACTAACAGCTACAAGGATAGAATATTGTGAAGTGATATGATAACCTGCACAGGAGAATAAAAGTAATAATAACACCTAATGAAACAGGTAGAAAGGACATACAAACAAATGTCAAGAAAATGATTTCACTCACTTAACTAGTCAGTTAAAAGTAACCATAAAAAAAGAACGAAGACACGGGGACCATTTTTACAAATACTGACATAGAAAACTAATTTCAGTGTTAAGTACTTGTTATAGCACAATGTTCACTGGCTTTATTATTCAAAACATGCCAAAACATATTACATTCGATATTGTGTCTACTTACCTCCATATTTTATCGGTAAGAGTCGAAAAAAATGGTCAGGCCAAAAACAAAAAACTGTAGAGAAATAAGTAGAAAAATGTGAGGAAAAAAATAAATATGGAGAAAAGAAAGAATTTAGAAAAATATGATTGAATAAGAAAGAACGAATAGAATAGAGTTAGTGGGGAGAAAAAGAGATTGTAGACTGTCAACAAGGGGGGGGTGACCAAACAATAATTCAGATAGTATTCCAGAGACATTTATTGAAAGAAAATTATGCATCCAAGAATTTTGATGAAAATAGTAACTAGTTATAAAAAAGATTTTGTTAAATATCTATATATATATATATATATATATATATATATACATATCCCAATAATAAATATAAATGTTTCTTACCACTTCATACAACTCTGAGTTTCATGCCATTGTCTGACAATATATACTTACTATTGTCACTTGGTGTTGACCTCAGTGTCAACTTTTATATTTACATACACTCTATCACTGATATTGAGCACTTTTACCTATAAATATAGCATACTGTAAAACTATATTTCTATCATATGTAATTATATATATATATATATAACCTACATGTTTTACATATATAGCTGCACAAATAAAATATATATGAAATATGTATGCTTGCATATAAATATGAAGTAAAATATATATATATATATATATATATATATATATATATATATATATATATATATATATATATATATATATGCATGTATGTATATAGCTTGACAATTGCATTTAAGCATGAAACAGACTCAGATTTTTGACTCTTGGTTTTAACCTCAGTGTTTACTTTTATACCTACATGCACTCAATCTATGATATTGAGCACTTTTACCCATAGATATAGCATACTGTAAAACTATATTGTTATCATTTGATATCTATCTATCTATCTATATATATATATATATATATATATAGGTGTATTCGCATATTTTCATTTTTGTTTATGTATGATGTTTATACATTTTTCTATTCAACAAAATCGACCATTTTAGACTTGAAATTCTTTAATGTCTCTTGTTTTGCAAATTCACTCACATTTTTTTCGTTTTTAAGTGAAATTTTGGATTAAAATATGTTTATCATTATTGGAAATTCATCTTAAATGAGAGCTTGTTAAATGCAAGGTGTGGATCAGGCGTGAAAAGGAAGAAAGAAAGAGGAAGCAATCTGCTGCAGTGGTTTAACAGACAACAATCTTACTGCTTCTACTGCACTAGATGACCCCACTCTCAACTGGACGACCTGACATTTTTTTTTAACAAAAGCAGGAAGAAAAATAAAATATTGCAAAAATAAAAATAAAAAAATGTATTAAAAAAAACAAACAAAAAAGACAACAGAATAAAATAAAAGAAACTAGAATAATGAAAACAAAAAAAAAATAAATTTAAAAATTAAATTTAAAAAAAGACACTAGATTTGAAACTGCCTTCCTTGTAGGGAAACAGCTAATATCACCGTTACTATACATTATAAGAGTTTTAAAATACTTCCAAAAAAAGAACAAAGAAAATAATCTACACACAGTAACAGAGATGGAAAGCAGAAAGGAACAAAAAAGAAAAAAAAAAGAAAATTGAATATTTACAAAAATAATTATAATACTGATGATTTTTTAATTTTAAAAAATAAACCAATAAATAAACACTGTCATCATTTTATTTTCTGTATTTTGTTATTTATGTTTGTTTTTTTTGTAATTTTCAATTTTGAAGTTGTTATTTTGTCTGTGGTGCGTGTCTCATTTTCTGCTCCATAATTTGCTACTCATACTGTTAATTGAAGTTCAAGTTTCTGCGAGTCAACTAGTACAGGCATAATGACCTTCTAAATATCTTTTTCCCTCTTTAATTCACAGAGTTCCTGTTCTCTTGGCCTTATCCATTAGTGTTAAAATCAACTACTGGCCTGTGTTTCTAATGAAGAAATGTCTTCATTAAGACTTGCTTTTATTTTTTTGCATACACACATACAGGGTGCGATAGGTAAATTGTCTCCATCTTATATTTTTAATTTCGAGCATGCACATTGTTTGTTTTTGATTTTGTCGACTGCACAGCTGTCAGAAAAAGAGCACTTTGATGCAATTCAGTCCGCCAGAAATTTGTAAACGTCATGCTATACTGCTTGGCATTTGTGCTGGAAGTTCTAATACAAACATTTCAGAGTGTTTTGGTGTCAATTTGATGAGAGTGCAGAGGATTCAAAAAGAGTTGGATGAGTCTAATGGCAATCACAAAGGTACGGCAGCTTGGAAAATTCACTCTGATCATTCTGACAAGAAAAGAATTCACAAATTTGTTGGTGAGGGCCTCAAACTCAACACAGAGACTTACATCCAGTGCTTTGATCAGGTAGTTCTGTCCCGGATCAAGAGGGTGGCTGCTGGAAGACACTATGCCTGGCAACAGGACTTCACACCATGCTACACAAGCAGGAGAACTCAGTCATGACTGTCAGGCAGTTTCTGTGACAACTTCACCCCTTACATTTAGCCACCTAACTTCCCAGACTTCAACATCCTTGAATATTATATGTTGAGCGAGAAACCAACAAAACTTCTTATCACACCAAAGATGAACTGTTTGTGGCAGCATTCACCAACTTAAACAAGGAGACCATCCAGAAAAGATGCAGGAGATTCAAAAGTTTATTCTTTAGCATGTTAAGATATTTTTGTGTGATTTTGTAAATATATCTGTTAAAATGAGATGTCAGTGTTATTTTCATTTTTGCATAATTTTGAGGACAATTTATCCATCGCACATTGTATTGTGTATTTGGACAGCAATCCCTCTTTTATACATATTTCATTAAAGCCAACTGACAAGCTACTGTGGCTAAGCATTTTATTTAGTTTTTCTTGTATCTGGATAAGTTGTGTCTTTTCTGAACATCGTGTGCAAAAATTGTCTGAGTGTTCTGTATGTCCAAGAACTTTCAACTATTCTTTTAGCTATTACCAAAGATTTATGTCCAGAAAAGAAAAATTTTTTTTTCTTTTGTTTGGGTCAGCAGATGTCTGGTATTCGGGCATCAAACTAATGTATTAACCAACCAATGTTGCTAAAAGTTTAGAATATACTTGCATTTATCTGTGCAATATATCATGTGAGTTTCAGCTGATAAATATCTACTAGGGTTTTCATATTTGAATATTCTGATGAATCTTAATCATGGCAAGTTCTACAGCAATAAAATATCCATAGAAATTATCCTATCATATCGTTAAATATTTGAGTTTAACTTTAACAAAATATTTCAAAATCAGTCATAAATATGATTGATGGTTGTTATTTTAAGAAGTGGGCACAAATAAAAAGATTTGAAATTGACAACTTTTTCCATTTCATTTAAACACATCTATCTTCCCACCCTTCTTTCTTTCTTTCTTTCTCCCATTTTCTATCTGAAACCAAGTAGCATCTCTGATATATCTTTTCTGTCTTTCTATGTGATCGAAATGGAATTGGCCATTATTTATGATGTATTGGTAGGGCGTAATAGTCGTGCTAAAAAGGGACAAGCAGAATTATAATATCTCTTCTTGTGAAAATATAATATATTATATATATATAGTATTTAACAAAAATAAGTGCACCATACATTTTTATTTATAAATAAATATAAAACACATAAGCAAGAGAAACATATATTTAGCAAAATATTCCAATATACCTGAATAAAATATTATTTTATATGTTAGTCTGGGCTCCTTGACATTCTATAACCTTCATCTGTATTTCATTCATTGATTTTGCAAAAATTCTTTTCTTCTGATTTAACTTCACTTGCAGCAGTATTTATTACTTCCTAGAGATCTTTATTTGAATATTATTTTTCATTCTTGTATTTTTCTCCTTCTATGTGCCATGTCCTTTCAGTATATTGGCAGTCATAGCTCTCCACAATTTACTTTTCTTTGTAACTCTTAGTAAGTGTTGTCTTTTTGCTATCTCTTCTAAACACTGTTCTGCCAAACATTTATACAAGCTTGTTAGTTAGGTCATGTGCTGTTTTCCTCTGTCACTCTTGCTTTATGTCCTGTGAGTTCTAAATTTTCCAAGCTCTCTTTCCTCAGATTTCCTCAGATTTTTAACTATCTCTTTCTGATATTAAGTATAAGTGTCCTTTTTGCTTCCATTTTCTCTAAAATGTTGTTGCACATATATTCATTACATGGTATTCTCAGCATCTTTCTGTAGAACCACATGTCTGTTGCTTAAAGTTTCTTCTTAATCTGTGAGGAGATTGCCCAGCATTCATTGTCATATAGGAGAACTGATATTAGATAACAGTTCAGTACTCTTTTCTTTGTTTTTAATGAAATTTTCCTGTTTCTTAATACTTTGCTTAGTTTTAGAAGCCATCTTTTGTTATCCCAATGCACCTTTGTAATATTATCCATTTCCCTACAGGGGAAACATCTGGCATTTTCCCCAACTTCTACAAACTGTAAATATATGAGGACTAATTAGAACTTCATAGAGATATTGTGGTATTATGGTGATTGTAGTAAGAATGGTAATTAGGAATGTATTGTTTTGGTGAAAGGAAAATTATAGGATGTTTGTGTCAGTGATTGTGGCTAGCTAAGTTTAAATGTAAGACAGATGAAGACCAGACTTCCTCATCTCGATCTGGCCTTGTGACATATGTCGAAACACTTGTTCTTGTATGATCACTGAAGTTAAGCAACATTGAGCCTGCTCAGTACCTCGATGAGTGACCATTTGGGAATACTAGATGCTATAAGCGTGGATGTGTTGAAAGTGTAATTGATAATGGCTCGAAATTGTTAATCAGAGAGCCATGTTCTGAATCTAGCTAAATTCATTATATACACTTAAAAAACAAATAACCTTGGGAAATTATGCATCCACCTCTTCTACTCCCCACCTATAGGTTAATTAGTAAGACTTGTATTAATAAACCTCATTATCCTAATAAAAAATCATACAATCTAAAAGTCACTTCTTGTATTCACCCTTCGGTTCTTCTGAAGTTTTGATTTGGTATAATAGACTTGCTCCTTTAACCAACCCCCAAAGAAAAAGTCACAGGGTGTTAAGTGAGGACCCCAGGCTGGTCACTCATACATAAAATAGGGAGTTACTTTTCAATCACCCTGTAGTATATAATTCAAATCCATAATGTATTATCAGGTCAAAATATTTTATTTAGGACAACTATAGCTAGATTGTAAAATTAAAAATTTTACTTGTATATTTTGTATTTGTATATTTTTATTTAAACATATATTATTAAATATAACAGACAATGAATGTATATTATGTCTGATCATGAACCATTCTAATGTTTGAATGTTTGCTTTAATTTCTGGTGAAAATAAAGACAAAAAATTGTCCAACATTTGGGTATTTTTTAATTAAGTTGGTCCTAAGATTTTGTCTCACATCAGCCATCCTCAGAGTGGTTATACAGACTGGAAACAAAGATATCCACCATCAAAGATGATATTTTCTTATTTTGATGTAGAAAATTGCTATGTGACGATAACAAAAAAATAATAAAAAAAATATCCAAACGTTAGACAATTTTTGTCTTTATTTTCACTTGAAATTAAAGCAAACATTCAAACATTAGAACGGTTCATGATCAGATATAATAGACATTCATTGTGTGTTATATTTAATAATATATGTTTAAATAATGATCTGCTGCCACAATAAACTATATTTTTATTTGTATGTTTCTGCCTATATTAAAACAATTTTTATATTTACAAAATTGTTTTTGATAATTTACCAAGTTATTTAGAATTAATATTTTTCAGTCTTCGGTTGTTTATGTTTGGTTAAATTGTTTTGCTCATTAATAGTCATTATTATTTATCCTTTCATTATTTCTGAATTATTTCAGGCTAAAGGAGAAATTTGGTGCAACACTGAATTGTATTAAATTGTTTATTTTAAGTTACTTAAACAAACAAATTGATTACCACGATTTGACAGAAAATTTTAGTTACATTTTTGGCACATTCTAAAGGTGTATAAACAAAACATGCATGCAGAAACAATTTTACTATATATGGTATAGTTTCTATTGCATAAAGTACAATGAATATATTCATTATTTTCAAAACAAAACATCATGGCTGTGTGTGTATGTATATATATATATGATTGTATATATATATATATATATATATATATATATATATATACACACACACACATGATGATTGTGTTCAGCATGAAACAGATTGTTGCTTCTGGGTGTTTACTTCAATGTCCACTTTTATATTTTCATATGCTCTATCCCTTGTATTGATAACTTTAACTCATAAATATATTATACCTTAAAACTATATTTTTTACCATATATATATATATATATATATATATATATATATATATATATATATAAGCTGTCAAATATATATATATATATATATATATACTATCTGTCAAAAATGGTTTGGTTATTTATGTACAGATTAGCACTTAAGTCTTGGCTCAGAGCATTTGTATGATCTGCTTAGAATCAAAGTGTCATTCTTTGGTTCTCTGCTTAGGATCAGAGTGTAGTAACTGTGCATTTTGTTTGCCATCAATGTGTCACTCTTTGGCCCTCTGCTGAGGATCAGAGTAGTATCTGGACACTTTGCTTTGAATCAGAGTGTAGTAACTGTGATTGTGTTATGCATTTACATATGGCACTTTGTTCAGAGAAATAAACATTGTTGTATGACCAACATATGTTTATAATTTTTTTTTTTTATTATTGACTTAGTTTTCCAAAGGACAATAGAATTAATATGCAACATTATTTCTTTTGCAAAGTAGTGTTTCACGGAGAAGTGTTGTAGATAATCATGAATTGAATTTAATGTCAATAAGTAATTTTTATTCACAGAGAATTTGATTTGTAATGATACCAATATCTACTGGACTCTTCCTAGATGATGACAAAAATAATCTGAGACACAAGATGCATCAGCAGGTTCAATTTGAAGATGGCCTCCTAGTCACTAGGCGCAGCTTTGTGCCTCACAGAATGTCAATAGCTGTTGCTGGCATGCAAATAGGTGGATGACCCAGCTGCACTTACAATGGTGTGCACAGATGAAACAAATGGATGACAAGAAAATACATAAACGCTCCACCCGAGGAAAAAGTGTCTCTCTCATATCCTTGCAAGAAGTTGATCCACATTCAAAGAAAATCCCACAAAACCACACACCCACTCATCAATATTAATTGATGAAGTTCAGAGTTGAATAAATAATAGTTTTATGTATGAAAGATTTAGTCTCGTTAGTTTAAGCAATGATAATATTACAAATGTGTTAAGCTTCTGACTTACTGATCCACCTGCAGTTTTTATAATAAATCCAATGACCTTCATGAAATGTGTTGAAACTACCTAGGGATGTAACTCAAGCTTTGTTTTGACATCAAAATTGATAATTTAAAACCTAACAAAAATTTTACAAAATCAATGGATAATTGCTAGTTGTTATTTGGCAGAAGAATCACTATGTGATAAATGCTTCAAAAATTATATATGTTTGTTATTTGTTCTATTATATGTGTTGATCAATTGTTGATGATTTTACTACTTTGTTATTGAAGTAAAAAGTCATTTTCTCGTTTTGCATAATAACTTCAGACGGCAATATTTATAAATTCAATATCATTAATAAAATATGTTGAAACTACCTAAAGATTTAACACAAGCATTGTTTTGATATCTAAATTAATTGTTTAAATCATGAAAAAAATTGTTCAAAGCAAATTCGAGTTATTGATGTTTATGTGATTTGCATAATAAATTCAAATGGACTGTATATATGATAGGTGTTCAAATATGTTCAGCCTAAGAAAGAATTACAGAAAATTCTGATATTTAGTCATGCTAGGAAGTGGGCCATATCAGTAAGTTTTTATTAAGTTACACAGTAATAATATTTTTGAAGTTTTAGCATTTAATTTGTTAAAGGTTAGTGTCACTAAGGGACATCTGAAATATATTTCATTTTTTATTTTTATTAAGAGCTTTTTTTCATATACCATTGCGAAATTCAGGCCTATCCCAAATCTGAAAAGCAGGAGGTGCAATGACTCTTACTCTGGCACAGTTGCCCGTAACGTTACCAGAGGAGTTTAATTCTGATTTGTCTGTCTTCTAGAATCATTAACCTACCAGAGCTAGAAGCCCTAATCTGCCCTATTTTACACATAACTGAAAGGAGATTAGAAAAATTCATACTTTTCTTACAAGCATTAGAAATAAATACAACAACCTTGTCCAGAATTTAAATTCAGCCATTTTCCATTACATCATCTGCATGTCCATCTTTATATTATCTAATTATTGTGAAATAATAGCAAAAAAAAGGTCAGCCTGATTACTTTAACACAAATAAAGAATAGAATTCAATTACAACATAAAGTTTGCTTTAATTTTCAAAACAAAGTAATTGAATAAATGTTTTTTTAAACTGTTCTACAATGTCATTTATTGGCATTGCAATATGCAAAATTTCCAACTTTTATTTGTTTCTCAGTCAGAGATTTCAATGGTTTCGGTTTAAAAGAATATCTAGTTTCATTTGCTGATTACAAGTTTAAACCCAGACCTTGAGGTTGTCAGATTAATCCTATCAGCACAAAAATACCACAAGACACAAGTTGACTATAATCTGTTATTTGGTTCTATGCAAGAAAAGAAGTCCCCAATACTGAATTACACACTTAAGCCTAATAAAGATATTTGCATTTAAAATTTATATTTTTATTTTTGCTGAGTGGGATTTGTGTATGAATTAAATTAGATTTCACTGTTCATCTTAAAAGGATTGGTCATGATGTCATTCAATTTGTTTTGCATGATTGGAACAAAGTAAAATTGGTGATGATGGAAGTGCTAACTTTTGAACTCCTCTGTGCAATCTCTAAATCCTCTTTTTTTTCTGCTTGAATAATCTGTTGTAAACAGATTATTCAAGCAGAAAAAAAAGAATTACTATGAATATATTGGTGATACAAATCTAGCCTGCAAGAATACAAGAAAAATGCTGTGGTAGGTCTCTAAGTGGATTTGATGCCACTTGACTTGCAAACAAGATATGTCTCAATATTTCAAGAAAGAAACAGATGTGACACATAATTCTGTTTATTCCCTCATTAGTTAGTAAGTTTGTTAACATGTGCCTTACATCTTGCCATTACCTCAAATAAGTAACAGGCCACTCAATTTTGATTGTGAGGAGGACAGAAGAAAAAGTATATAAGAAATACTGTTTGGTTTTGGTAAAGGAAAAGAAAGAAAGAAAGAAAGAAATACAATAATACATGAAATAATAATGATGATGATGATGATGATGATGATATAATTCTGCTTGTTCCTCCATTAGTTACTAAGTTACTTAACATGTGCCTTACATCCTGCCACTACATCAGATAAATAATGGACCACTCAATTTTGATTGTGAGGAGGACAGAAGAAAAAATTATATCAGAGATACGGTTTGGTTTTGGTAAAGAAAGAAAGAAAGAAAGAAAACAATAATACATGAAATAATGATGATGATGATGATGATGATGATATTATAATTCTGCTTGTTCCTCCATTAGTTACTAAGTTACTTAACATGTGCCTTACATCCTGCCATTACCTCAGATAAATAATGGACCATTGCAGCTATAATATTGTGATCCTATACAGAAATGCTGTAGAGAAACATTTTGATCCAAGGCAGACTTTACTGATACTACACTTTGATC